TTTTTTTTTTTTTTTTTTTTTTTTTTTTTTTTTTTTTTTTTCTTCTTCAGGAACTTAACCGTTTTTAGGGGTCTGCCACCCACCAACCCTCCTGAAGGCTTCGCCAAAGACAACACCTCTTTTTCTTTTTCTTCTTCTTCGGGAACCTAGCCGTTTTTAGGGGTCAGCCACCCCCCAACCGTCCCCAAGGTTTCGCCAAAGATTACACTTCTTTTTCTTTTTTTTCTTCTTCGGAAACTTCGTCGCTCTTAGGGGTCTGCTATCAATCAAACCTCCTAAGGGCTTCTTCGAAGATTACACTTCTTTTTTTTCTTGGAGAACTTAGCCGTTTTTAAGGGCCTGCACTCACCAACTGTCCCCAAAACACTTCTTTTTCTTTATGTTTTTATTCGGGAACTTAGTTGTTTTTAGGGGTTCGCCACCCACAAACCCTTCCTAAGGCTTCGACGAAGATTACATTTTTTTTTTACTTTTTTTTCTTTGAAAAGTTAGCCGTTTTTAAAGGTCTGCGATCCACCTCCACAAAGACTTCATCGAAGATTACACCTCTTATTCTTCTTTTTCTTTTTCGGGACTTAGCGACTTTTAGGGGTTGGGAACTTAGCGCATTGAAGTTGTTCGTCATTAAGGGACTGCCACCCACCAACCCTTCGCAAGGCTTCGCCGAAGATTACACTTGTTTTCCTTCTTTTTTTTTCCGGGAACTTAGTCGTTTTTAAAGGTCTACCACGCACCAACCCTCCCCCAAAAAGGCTTCGCCGAAGACTAGACCATTTTTTTTCTTTTTTGTTTTTCTTTTCATTGGGAACTTATCCGTTTTTAGGGATCAGCCATCCACCAACCCCCCCCAAGGCTTCACCGAAGATTACACTTATTTTTCTTTTTTTTCTTCTTCGGGAACTTAGCCGTTTTTTGGGGTCTGCCACCAACCAACCCTCCTCAAGCCTTCATCGAAGATTACACTCCTTTTTCTTCTTCAGGAACTTAGCCGTTTTTACAGGACTGTCACACACCAATTGTACCCAAGACACTTCTTTTTCTTTTTCTTCTTTTTCGGGAAGTTAGCCGTTTTTAGGGGTTTGTCACCCACCAAGCCTCCCCAAGAATTCGCCGTAAGTTACACTTCGTTTTCTTCTTTTTCTTCTTCGGGAACTTAGCAGTTTTTAAGAGTCTGCGACCCACCAACCCTCTTCAAAGCTTCGCCGAAGATTACATTTCTTTTCTTTTTTTCTCTTCTTCGAGAACTTAGTCGTTTTCACTGTTCTGTCACCCACCAACCCTCCCCAAAACTTCGTCGAATATTGCACTTCTTTTTCTTTTTTTTTTATTCTTTAGGAACTTAGCCGTTTTCAGAGGCCTGCCACCCACCAACCCTCCCTAAGGTTTCGCCGAAGATTGCACTTTTTTTTTTTTTTTCTTCTTCAAAAACTTAGCTGTTCTTAAGGGTCCGCCACCCACTGACGCTCAAGGCTTCGCCAAAGCTTATACTTTTTTTTGTTATTTTTCTTGTTCAGGAACTTTGTAATTTTGAGGGGCCTGCCACCCATCAACCCTTCCCGAGGCTTCGCCGAATATTATACTTTTTTTTTTTTTCTCTTCTTCGAAAACTTCACCATTTTCAAGGGCCGGAAACTTAGTCGTTTTTAGGGTCCTCTTACCCACCAACACCTCCCAAGGCTTTGCCGAAGATAATACTTCTTTGTCCTTTTTTTCTTCTTCGGGATCTTAGCCGGTTTTAGGGGCGTGCCAGCCAACAACCGTCCCGAAGGCTTTGTCGAAGATCTCTAAGGCTTCGCTGAAGATCACACACATTTTTTTTTTTTCTTCTTCGGAAAGTCGACTGTTTTTAGGGGTATGAGACTCACCAACCCTCTCCAAAGCTTCGCTGAAGATTACAATTCTTTTTATTTTTTTCTTCTTCGGGAAGTTAACCGTTTTTAAAGGTATGCGATCCACCTCCACAAAGGTTTCGCCGAAGATTACACTTCTTGTTCTTCTTTGGGACTTAGCGACTTTTAGAGGCCGAGAACTTAATGCATTAAAGTTAGTCTTCCTAAGGCGTCTGCCACCCACCAACCCTCCACAGGGCTTTGCCGAAGATTACACTTGTTTTTTTTCTTTTTTTTCTTCGGGAACTTAGCCGTTTTTAGGGGTCGGAAACTTTGCTGTTTTTAGAGGTCTGTCACCCACCAACCTTTCCCAAGGCTTCGCCGAAGATTACAATTATGTTTCTTCTTTTTCTTCTTCGGGAACTTAGCCGCTTTCAGGGGTCTGCCACCCACTAACCCTCCACAAGGCATCGCCGAAGATTACACTTTTTTTTCTTCTTTCTTTTTTTCGGAAACTTTGTCGTGTTTAGGGGTCTGCCACCCATCAATGCTACACAAGACTTCGCCGAAGATTACATTTTTTTTTGTTTTTTTTTCTTCTTCGAGATCTATTCTATTTGGAGGGCTTTGCCACTTACCAACCCTCCACAAGGTTTCGCCGAAGATTACAAGGGATATGCCACCCACCAACCCTACATAAGGCTTCGTTGAAGATTATACTTTTTTTTTTTTTTTTCCCTTCCTCGGAAACTTAGCCATTTTTAAGAGTTTTCCACCTACCAACCCTCCCAAAGGTTTCGTCGAAGATGATACTTCTTTTTTTTGTTTTTTTTTCTTTGGGAACTTAGTCGTTCTTAGGGGTCTGCCACCCACCAACCTTCTCCAAGGCCTCCCGGAAGAATACAATTTTGTTTTTTTTTTTTCATCGAGTTTTTTTTTTTTTTTTTCTTCGAGTTTTTTTTTTTTTTTTTTTTTTTTTTTTTTTTTTTTTTTTTTTTTTTTTTTTTTTTTTTTTTTTTTTTTTTTTTTTTTTTTTTTTTTTTTAGAAGACCGTTTTTTTTTTCCTCCATGGAGGTCTTGATTATTTCATCGAGTTTTTTTTTTTTTTTTTCATCGAGATTTTTTTTTTTTTTTATTTTTTTTTTTTTCAGGGTCTTCCACCAACAAAAATTTCTCCTTCTTATTAAATTACAAAAATTTTTTTATAAAAAAATATAAAGCAAGAGGGGGGGGGGGGGGGGGGTGGGGGGGGCGTTTGCGCTACAAATTTTCTCTAACACTTACCGCATCCACAACAAACAAAACATATGACGGTATATCTTTCATAATGCAAGTGGAAGATTCATTTAGATTTTCCATGTTTGGTAAGTTGTGGCGCGAGACCCGAAGATTAGGGGCGACTGCACAGTTGTTGACACCTCTCATTTTCGACAAAGACTAGGGGCGACTACACTACCTACCAATGTCTCTCCAGTGCGTCATTGACGTTTGTTTTTCTAGATTTGATGAAATAATACTCCCCTCCTCGTTGTCAAGCCTGTAAAATACTCTTCCCGCATGCTTGAAGATAGGTTTTTCAGTCGGGAAAGTTATTGCCGGTTTAAATGACTTTTGTGAACTTATTCTGTTGTTACCTAATGTGAAAAAAAAAAAAACAATTAGGGCGGATGAGTCTCAAACAAAAGGAAAAAAAATAGCAAAACCCTCTTCGTTACCAACTTTAGTTGCCGAAATAATAATAATTTGCCGTTTTTAGGGGATTGCCACCCATCAACCCTCCCCAAGGCTACCAAAGTGGCCTGGAACCACTTGTGTAGTTGGGCAAAAAAAATTAAAAAAATACTAGGCTACCAGCCGGGCCGCCCGGGTCCCGAGTGACCAGCCCGTGCAAGGACCAGAGAAGGTAAAAAAAAAAAAAAAAAAAAAACTCGAAAAAATATGAAAACAAACACTATGTCGTGCAGAAAAGTAAACTGAATAACTGTTGCCTCAGGGTGAAAGTGTGCTCACGCTGAATCGCGGTTTAAGGCTGCAGGCCTATCCTGGTGAAACCTTTCGGAAGCTTCTGTTCCGGTTTGTCCGTACCTGCTGCCCCGAATGGGGTCCGATAATTCAGGGTCTGTCTTTGGGTGAGTAGGAAGGGTTAGGATTAATTTTGTTTGTAGCTGTCGGAGCCGCGGGGTCTGTGGGTCCGATGGTTGTGTGGTCCTTTCGGCCCTCTTTTTTTGTCTTTTGGTTGGTCTTGGACGGTTGGTCTCGAATAAGTCTGCTGCGGAGATTCAAACTATTAATAGTCTAGGAACGATAGAGTAGTCCTCTTGCATTGAACTCGGTAGCTGCCATCGATATTGACGCTTTGCGTCAAAACGATAGCAGCAGTTTGACGGAATGAGTGGCGGATTATAGGGTGTGTGGTCAGAAAGTGGAACTTGGTGATGGGCTGTTGTTCTAATTCTTTCAAGTTTATCATCACCGGAACATGCTGTGAACTACTCTGTGTGTTTTAGTGTTCATATGCTGTGTGAACAATCTCGCTGCGGTTCCTTCTGTCTGCATCGATTCTAATATCTGCCAGATATCGAGCACTATAACCAGCCAAGGGAAGCTACTTGGAGTTTGGTGTTAGTGATTGGTCAGGGTGACTGCACTATGAGTTTTGATAGGTGACGAACAACGAGTGAGGCGTGCAAGGTAATTGGTAAGAAAGCAGAGACTCGTGTGAGTGGGGTCACGTCAACAATGTGATGAGCTACCGAAGGGAAGAGGCGTGGGGGAGAAGAGACAGGCATCGAGGTTACGAAAGTGGAGGATGGGATAGCGGGAGCGAAGGAAGGACAAACAGAAGGTGGGATGGACGACGTGATAAGAGGTATGAAGAGAGGCGAGGAGGCTCTTCCGACGACTATGGGAGGAGAGGCTACAGCGACGGTGGAGGTGCAAGACAAATCAAGTGTTATGAGTGTGGGGAACTTGGCCACTATAAAAGCTAGTGTCCCCGACTGCAGCGTCAAGGAGGAGGAGTAGTAACGCTGAGCAGAGAGATGGAAGACTCGCTGGCTTCCGTTGGACGTATGGGGAAGCAGTTGTTGGATCGACATAGGAAAACCGAGGACGCACAAAGAGAAGCCGGGGAGAAGAAGAAATGCGAGGAAGACAAGAAGGCCGCAAAAGAGGAGGCGGCGAGGATTGAGATGGAAAAGAAACGCGCGAAGAGAGATAAGGAGCAAAGAAGGCAATGGGAGTTGAAGAAGATCCTAGCAGAACAGAGAGAGGAATACGAGGAGAAGCTGGCGCAGATTGTGGGCTCAGGGATGAAAGGAGCAACGATCGGAGGAAAGAAGAAGAAGAAAGAGAAGGCTCCTGCACCATCATCGGGATCTGAAGAGGATAATGAAGGAGAGGAAGAAGCTACCCCTTTGAAAGATAAGAGGAAACGCCGAGAGTCGACGGGAGCGGCAGCAAACAACTCGCCTGTTGAAAATACACCGAAACAAGAAAAGCCCGAAGACGCCGCTACTCCAGGAAGCGCCAGAGCAAGGAAAGGGAGAGGGAGGCCATCGAGAGCAGATACCCAAGCGGCGAGAATGGAGAAGGGTCAAGACCCATGGGAAGGAGTTCCCATGGGCGACAAGTTTGCAACAGAAGCAGCGTTTCGAAAGGCCGTTAGGAAGACCCTGCGGTCCTTCTATCCGGATACGCTGAAGATGATGTGTAAGGGAGCCGGACTGCCCTTTTACGGCGTAAATGACGCTGTTGATGTTCTGGCAGAGTTATGGGTGACTTACTGTTACAAGCGGAAGAATGCAGGCTCGGTGTCAGGTAAGGGTACGGATGATGAGCAGATGAGGGGGGAGATTCAGGATCCCTAGGTCGAGTCAAACGTGTAACTTAGAGTCGTGGAAAATATTGTTGGAATTCATTGAATGTCGACGTTGGTGTAAATTGAGTACAAAGGCTAGAGGCCTAGTCGCACTAGTAGAGAAGATTCTGAGAAATGCGCTGCTGTTGCTAATTCTTGAGAATGAAATCGCTTGGGGACGGAAGTACGTTGAAAGTCTATGGGATGTTTTTGAGAATAGTCGCGAACGATGGGACGATCCGGGCTCGTGCGTTTATGCTCTAATTAATCCGTGGTGTAAGGCAGTATATGTCGGAAAGACGGAGAAATCTCTGAAAGATAGGTGGTCGGAGCATATAGGGAGAGCAAGGACCTTTGAAGGTGGACGTAAAAATAAGCTTTATAAATGGTTACGGAAGTGGGGCTGGGAGTCCTACGTGGCTGTTCCTTTAGCTATCGCCGAGAAAGGAGAACTAGACTGTTTGGAGAAGAAGTTTATTAGACGTTGGTGCCCGACCTTGAACGCGATTGGATGGAATGATGGAAAAAACAAGAAGAAGGGAAAGAGGAAAGGGAGAAGGGAGAGGAGGAGGAAGAGCTGCGTTAGGTTCTACGAAAATGAGAGAGTGGTGCATTTCCAGACAAAGAATGAGAAGAGTAAAGGGAGGTTGACCGAGGTAATCGAATCCTTGAAAGGAAAGAAATGTAGGGAGTTGAAATCAAGCGGGAGTAGGATCTGGATCGAGGATTGGAGCGTGGTGAGAAGAAGATACGGCGAGTTGAAGGTTCTTATCCAGGGTGAGAGGCGGAAATTGAAGCAAGTTAAAAGGGAGTTGGAAAGTTCATGTTCTCTCTACTTCACCAGGATTCGGGAAAGACATCCGGGCGATCCTAAATTAACGAAGTTGCTACATCAAATTTTGCGGGCCCTCTGGTCGAAGAAGAGACTGGAGCTACTTACGCTTAAGGAATCGGCTAACCTGTTCTGAAGTATTAAAGGCTTCACTTGAAAGAGCACCAGAAAGACTCTTAAGAATATCGTCGACGGGACTGTTAGAAGGAGGTTTAACATTAGTCTACAACGAAGACTGGTAGTAGGAGTCCGGTACGATGAAAGAGTGTCAAAAGCAGAAATCCGTAAAAGGCTGGTGAGTAAGATTGGCATGCTATCCGAATCGGTGACAGTCACGAAGCTACGTTGTCAGAAGCTCCGTCTTGTCTGGAGGAAAAACCAGACAGTCGGTGACCTTCTCCATAACCATAGGCAGGTGAGCCGCCAGATGGCAACGGTCTGTAGTTGTGCAGGCCTGAACCTCCCAAGACAGGGAGGACACGTAGTCTTCCGACTAGGAAGCCGAAGTGATGTTGATGAAAGGTTGCGAAACTCCAAGAATGTCGTACGGGTGTTTGACTGCGAGAGAGAAGAGGTTCGACTATGCAAGGAATTGAATAACGAAATAATAAAAGCTGGGTTGGAGGTGTTGTGGTCGATTGAGGAAGCGAGGGATTGTGTTAGGAGAACTAAGAGGAAAGGGGATGGGCTGATTGATTGGGTGGAGGAAGTCAAAAGAAGATGGGAAGGGTTGGTCTTTTGTCCGCTGGATAAAAATCTAGCAGAGACTTTGGTCATGTGCCCAGTCATGTACGAAGAAGGTATGAAAGTGATGTTTTGGGAGAATAAAGCTTTCGATCTTGTATGGAGGACCGAAGAGGAGGTGATGGCAAAAGTCAAAAGGGAGTATGAGAAGAAAGGATTAAAGTCTATCGCAAAGTGGGATAATCAAGGGGACTGGGGGAAAGCCTACGTGCTTCCAAAGCACAAGGATCCGGCGAAGTTCCGACCCATTTCCCCGTCCTTCTCCGAGCCCGCGAAGACGGCAAATCAGCGGGTCGCGAAAGCGCTGAAGTTCCTTTTTTTTTTCCTACCGAAGAATGACCACTTCAACTTGAAGTCTACAGGCCTGCTGAAGTACCGATTGGAGGAAGTAAGCAGATGGGCAGGAAGAAAGAAGAATTGGGAGCTAACAGGTGCAACTTATGACATCAAAGAGATGTTCAGTACGCTGCTCCATGAGTCAATCTGAGAGGCGATTGAATGGATTTTGAGTAGGTACGAAAAGGACGGTAAGAGTTGGGTATTAGTCCGAGTGAGGGGCAAAGGAGCCTCGTTTGGAAAGAGGAAGGGAGGGGAAGGTTGGCTGAGGGTGAGCTTTGATTTAATGAGAGCTATGGTCGATTTTGACCTCGATAATACCTACCTGTGGGCCTCAGGAAGGCTTATTCGACAGAAGGAGGGCATCCCAATGGGGAAGTCGAGTAACCTCCCGATTGCGTGTATTCTGTGTGCCTTTTATGAGTCAAAGTTTCTGAAAGGATTGGGAACGGACTCGAAACTAGTGAAGGGGATTAGGTTAGTTGACGATGTTTCTCTGTTTGTTTGGGATGGATGGGCAAAGAACATGAAGGGGAAGGCTGACGAGATAAGGAAGTTTTTTGAAGAGTCTTATGACTCTAACCTTACCTTGAAACGAACAGACGAAGGAAAGAAAGAGTGGGATTTCCTGGGATGCCGGGTTCGGGTAGACGGCTCGTGTGTGGAGTGTTGGTATCGAGCAAAAAAATTTGCAGAAATATGGGAGAAAAGCGAAAGACTGAGTTATAGGTGTTTTCAAGACTATAGCTCATACACGTGTGCCCGACAGAAGAGAACTCTGATTAACGGGATGTTGCACAAAATCAAGCAAACCACTATGTCGGTGGAAAGAGTGAGTGAAAGTGTGCTCACGCTGAATCACGGTTTAAGGCTCCAGGCCTATCCTGGTGAAACCTTTCGGAAGGTTTTGTTCCGGTTTGTCCATACCTGCTGCCCCGAATGGGGCCCGGTAATTCAGGGTCTGTCTTTGGGTGAGTAGGAAGGGTTAGGATTAATTTTGTTTGTAACGGTCGGAGCCGCGGGGTCTGTGGGTCCGATGGTTGTGTGGTCCTTTCGACCCTCTTTTTTTGTCTTTTCGTTGGTCTTGGACGGTTGGTCTCGAATGAGTCTGCTGCGGAGATTCGAACTATTAATAGTCTAAGAATGATAGAGTAGTCCTCTTGCAGTGAACTCGATAGCTGCCATCGATATTGACGCTCTGCGCCAAAACGATAGCAGGAGTTTGACGGAATGAGTGGCGGATCATAGGGTGTGTGGTCAGAAAGTGGAACTTGGTGATGGACTGTTGTTCTAATTCTTTCAAGTTTATCATCACCGGAGCTTGCTGTGAACTACTCTGTGTGTTTCAGTGTTCATATGCTGTGTGAACAATCTCGCTGCAGTTCCTTCTTGCTGCATTGATTCTAATATCTGCCGTCAGGGTAACATCGAAATTCTTTACCAAAATTGAAATAAAAAATAAAACAAAATGCTCAAT